ATCTGCTACATTAGGATGAGTTGTTGAACAATTGTTATCTGTTACATAAGAGTAAGCAGTTGTACAGTTGTAGGGAGTATTATCTGTTACATAAGGGTGAGTTGTTGTACAGTTGTAGGGAGTATTATCTGTTACATAAGGGTGGGTTGTACAGTTAGGAGTATTATTGTTACATAAGGTGAGTTGTTGTACAGTTGTAGGGAGTATTATCTGTTACATAAGGTGAGTGTTGTACAGTTGTAGGGAGTATTATCTGTTACATAAGGTGAGTTGTTGTACAGTTGTAGGGAGTATTATCTGTTACATAAGGGTGAGTTGTTGTACAGTTGTAGGGAGTATTATCTGCTACATAAGGGTGAGTTGTTGTACAGTTGTAGGGAGTATTTTCTGCTCAGTAAGGGTGAGGTATTTTACAGTTGTAGGGAGTATTACCTGCTACATAAGGGTTAGTTGTTGCACAGTTGTAGGGAATATTATCTGTTACATAAGGATGGGTTGTTGTACAGATGTAAGGAGTATTATCTGCTACATAAGGGTGAGTTATTGCACAGTTGTAGGGAGTATTATATATATTCTAACAGCAGATCTATATCACAAAAAATAAACAATATACAGTATATTCCATCTGTGTTTTGTTTTGTTTTTATTGCAGGCGTTTCTTAAAAAGCTGTGGCCCTTCCAGGATATTTCTCAAGAGGCCATAAAACCGAATTTGACTGAGCACATAAAAACATGACGTACAAATCTTGGCACCCAAACCTGCTGATGACGGCCGTCTGGTGCAGGTCTGAACATTGTGACCCAAGGGTGCCCATCTGCTGCCTCATCGTAAAGGTGCACAGAGTAAATTTTTGGGTGGAGGGTCCGTCACTGTGGAGATGTTGTTGCATTACCTGGAATTTTTCACATTACGACATTCAACTTATCTGTTTCCATGGAGACAAGCGCCAAGCCAGTTTACAGGTCCGGTTTGTGGAGAGGCGCATGCATACAGCACAATGCATATTTTTCAGGGTATTGTTTTACTTTGGTACATTTCAAGGAAAGCAATCTCCAACCAGGTGCTGGACTCGTACCAGAAAAGTTACACAGTGAACCTTTAACTATTCTGTACAAGTCATGACTGGAACCATGGCTAAAGTTAGACTAAGCATAGCCTCGGGAATATGACTCATGCAGCAGAATACACCACTCGCTCAAACTTGGACTAATCAGGAGTTTTCACTAAGTCCCTCATGGGTTTTCAACTTTTTTAACGAAGTTCGAAGGAATTCCTCAGAAACATTTGTGAATTCTGTGTAAATGTTGTGAATACAGGACATACAGATAAACTGGTGTTTGTAGGTCGTTTTATGGACTTCGTTAGAATGGCGAACTTGACCTCAGTGAGAGTTTTAAGTGGAACGCTAAAGCAGGATTTCTTTAAAGGTTCTGTAATTACACAAAAACAACTCTTGTGAACTTTAAGTCATGTTATAATGTTACTTCCTCAGAACCATATCTGGAGTTGTGTTTGTTTCATTCACACGAGCAATGCATCTCCAAAATGCAAAATGCTCTGCTCCACCTTGTGACGTGATGTGGTCATACAAGTGTTTTTAAACTCCATACACCTTCATTCTTTCAATAATTTGGATTATTTATTTTCTTTCTTTCTTTTCTTTCTTCTTTTTTTTTCTTTTTTATAATTTTATTTGCAAACTACTTACATTACAGAACCAAACTCTAGGTAGCTCTTAAGTCTTAAAAAGGTCTTAAATTTCATGTTCCTGAATTAAGGCCTTAAAAAGTCTTAAATTCTGTTGTCGAAGTCTTATTTTTTTTCCAAAGATCTTAAATTTCATTAGCCTATTTTTTTTTTTTGTATACTCAACCAGGCTGCAGTGCAATGTTAAATGGAGGGAGGAAAAACAAACAATGTGAAATCACATAACCTGAATGAACGTATGCTCAAACAATACTTAGTTTGTCTTGTTAGAATGTTATAAATGATTTTTTGGCCATTTTACAAGCAATGCATACTATTATAATGAGTTCTGAATGAGATTTTATAGTAAAAGTATGTTTTTGTTGTTTAAAGCAGTGAGTATTGGTCACTATTAGAATTGGATCTGGTATTTTTTGCCTGCATAATGGCTGTGATATTGGTCTTAATTTTCATTTAAGTGGTCGTAAAAAGGTCTTTAAAACGTCTTCAATTTGGGGTAGTCAAACCTGGGGATACCGTGCAAACAACATACAAGATACAAGACAAACATTACGATCGAAAATGACAGACAAATAAGGACAAAGGTGACAGGAGCTGGTGACAGTGTGGACATTATGTGTGTGTGTGTGTGTGTGCACAGGGAGTGTAGTGTAGACAGGCTATTCAGATGATTTACTGCTGACCTGTATTATTACTATTTAATTTGAGTATTAAAGTAAGTTAAGTATGTAATGGAGTATTGTCTCAGATCCCCACTCAAGTACAAGGAGCAGGCCGAGCCACGCCCACGCCCTCCATGGCAGATGCGGGGGCCACCCCCTAGGGTCTTGCACGTGACCACCTGCCAACCAGGCCAGCTATCCTCTTGACTAACCTCCTTTGGATGACTTCATATCTGGTATAGCCAATCTCTACTGGTCTAAAGTTAAAAGGTAAAGCTGCTAACTTGAAAACTACTACTACATGACATCAAAAATTGGAACAGAGCTTTTTGAGCTTTGGAGATGTACAAACTAATGATAAATCTTCACTCAAACGTGTGAATGAAACAAAACACAACTCCAGGTCTGTTTTTGAGGAGGTAACATTATATCATGGCTTAAAGCTCACAAGAGTCCATTTCGTGACAATAATAATAATAAAAAACATGTTCTTTTCCAGATGACTGCTAAAATGCTGACTGTTCAAAACAGTTCCCTAGAAAAGGTTTCCATTTGCTTTTGTAAGTGTCTTCTAGAGAAACTGCTGATTGGCACTGAGCAAATATTGGTGCAGGATTCACGTGAGATTTAACTAGGCAGAAACAATCACATGACGCTGTATATGGTGCACCTCCACTCTGCTCTACTTAGTGGTGTGTTTTGATTTTGCTTTAGGCCACTTTGAAAGGATTATTTTACTTAAAGGTCATGTGTTACACAAAATTAAGTCTTGTGGGCTCTAAGTCATTACACCTTGTGATGTCATGTAGTGGTCGTTTTCAAGTTAACAGCTAGCTTTCACCTTTTGTTCAGTACAGACGTGCATTTCCAGGGCTAAAATTATCCAAATGATTCTAGTATAGAGTTGGTTGTACACATTTTTGTCCATGTCATTGAGCAAAACCGGTCAAAATGAGACCATTGTGCGTTGTCTGCATCTAATTACTGTCTGCCTGTCTGTTTTATTGTTTTGAGGATCAGGATATACGCTGTTTGCATGCTAATTGTTACCAGAAAAAAAAGAAAAAAAAAACGCTTATAAAGTCATTGCAGTGAATAATTAGGAAGCTATGTGTTAAAGGCCTTTTTTCTGATGTTATAATGTTGTTTCCTTATCACAAACGCACAAACCATGCATTTAGACCGAGTTCTTCAAACAGAAAATACTCTCTTCCACCTTGTGATGTCATGCGGTAATACAGGAAGTGCTCCGTTGTGTTTTTAAACTCCATACACCTTCTCTAGAGTCATTTATGATTTGAATGGCGGCGTGTGCAGACGTAGCGGCCTCTTTCTCTTCCAATAGTGCAGTGTTTTGTTTGTCTGAATGTTTTTCTCGTCAATCTACGCTTGAATATCAGTACAGTTGACAGGCGCTGTTAGAGATTCAGAAAAGCAAAATCTGCAATGACGCTGGAAGAACTTGGATTACTTCGGCGGTCTGCTGCTACTACTTCTGCACCGGACTCGCCTGCCACCCCCAGGAAGGAGGCATTGGAAGCGATGCGCGAGGACAAGGAAGAAAGGTAAACGTGGAGGTATCTGGGCGAGACTAGCGGCTAATCCAACTCGCCCAGCCATACCATCTACCCTCCTGGCTAACGTAAGATCACTAGACAAATGGATCACATTCGACTGCTAAGATTGATTAGGTTCTTTTTTCAGACCAAGAGTTTGTTTTCATACCTGACAGTTTGGACTGCTCACTGCGCTTTTCCTCAGAGTGGTCACGTGATGCTGCTGTGACGTGTCATCTGATTTAAACAGGTTTTGGCGCTGTCTTCCTACTGGTGGAGGCCACCTGCAGTCCGACTTCCTCAGGAAAGAATCACAGGTGTTTGAGAGTTTAACCTGATAAGGATTTGACGGCCCGCCGGCATATGAATCTCCGTCATCCACACTAACAATATACATATCAAATTAAAGCTACGAGTCTCGTCTTTTTGAATATCCAAATCATTTTCCACAGTAACCACAACAGCACTGACAAGACAGCCGTTTTACAGAAAAGCACGTGCAAAGGATTTGGACTGTTCTTACCTTTTGAGGGCTCTCATTCTGTCAAACATCCACATATCCCCAGAAAGTTGGTCTCATTTGGTCCGTACAGGTCCAGAGAATATAATCCAGTGAAGAAAATATGTCCACAAAATGAATTAGTTCCTCTATGCCGGAAAGTATTCCAAAGTATTCCAAACGTGAAAAGTGATCCGTCACTTTTTTTTGCATTTCTTCTGGCGATTTCAGGGCTAAGATATTTACTGAGCACGATAACGCTACTGTCTATGCTAAACGAAAGAGTTAGCATTTAATTGGCACTTTGGTCAGCCAATAGAGTGCAAGTTTTCGGTTACTAAAGCCCCACATCGCCAATCAGTGGTACAGAACTCAGAAAGTTTACTCCCCACTTCCCCTCGTGCACAATCACCCAAACTTGATTACAGGTGCGGAGTGATATTTTCCCTTACAGTCAACGAGCCAATGAACACAATGACATATCACAAGCCATGGTTTTCTGTATACCTGCGCCGCGTGGATCATGCGTACCGCCGGCACAAACACAAAGGGACTGTGTGCGTAAAGCGTGCGTCTTTTACGCAGCCAATGGTTACGCGTTACGCACTAGTGACGCTTTACCTAATAGCCAATGGGCAGTCAAAAAAAGAGTTTATATATACAGTTTGAGGTGTTTACTGTACACAGTACATCAGTACAGTATAGTACAGTATAGTACAGTACATACTCCAGTACATACTCCGTGCATGTTGGTGCTTTGCCTTTGTTTCGAAGTTATGGCTAAACGAACAGAGAAGACGCGGTTTTCAGCCTTGGAAGCTGCGGAAATATGTACGAGAAGGCTGAGTGACACCTCGGACCAGGAGCTGTCGGAACCGGAGAGCGATGTGTCCGCGGTGGACTCAGTGGAAGAAGAAATGTTTTTTGAGGGATTGGATGCCATTTTGGATCGGTAAGTGTATTTATTTTCCCGCTATAAATATAAATGTAAAATATTGTAAAATGTAATAAAATATCAGATACCTAAACAGCATTTATGTACACCGCCCAGAGTAAAACAAGTATACACATAATAAATGGTGAAACAATAAGTTGCAGCATCTTATAATATGGCATACATAGTGGCAAATAAACACTATTCTTTCTTTTACAGGCAAAATGACTCTGACCCTGATTGGGAACCAGACACTGAAGTTTTGGCTGAGGTGCATGTGGAAATTGATGACCCTGAGTAAGTTACTTTATTTGATCAATAAATGCAATGTATTTTGAGTGCATTTGTTACAGTATGAGACTATTTCAGGTGTATACAATGTTGGAATGAAGTTGCAAGGTGTAAATATGTTGTGAATGTTTGTGGGGGAGGGAGGCAAGTGTAAGTAGTGGTTGAATATTATACAGTAGTAGAATAATAGTGTCTGTAGAGCAATCTGTATAGTAGCATTTACTGTTTACAAATCATTTATAGTATTATAATATGTTTTTGTTGTTTTCATTTTAGACTGACTTCAGTGCCTGCAGCCGAACCAGAGCCGGGCCCTTCCTCAAAGATTCCCCGGGTTGAGAAAACAGCAAAAAGAGGCAGAGGACGGAGTTTGAAGTGTGTTTGTTTACAGTTTGAAATGTGTTTGTTTACAGTTTGCATTGTTATACATTTGTAAATATACATTTATTTTGACCCATAACCTTGTTTTGACTATATTTATATATATAATATACATTTTATATTGTGTTTTGATATGCTATATATATTTCATAAGGAATAGAGCAGCTTGGTGTGTAGATAAAGATTCCTCTAAGTGTAAGCTTTCAGTAGAGCCCTCATTGATGTTTGTGGGTTGAAGCATTCAAAAGTTATTGCATTTTTTTCCAAACGTTCTCCAAATGTCTCCATTTGGAGAGGTTTGGATAGGTTTGGATAAATTTGGATAAAGCAAAAGTCCCTCTGGAAAACGCCTAAATATACTAGCAATAAAAGTAGTCTAAAATCCTCATTTGTATAGATATTCTCATCAAATTTGAAATGTAAGAGGTCAACATGGTTTTCAATAGAAATATAGAGTGTTTCAGTCCCCAGCTACCTCCTGCAGCTTTCTACACCTTAATTTTAACAAAAAAATTTGGGCGAGGATGAGAAAAATAATTTTTTAGGTGTGTGCCAAAGTGTATAAATACCTACCAGACATACTTAGAGTGATTCTTACACCTGTGGGTGAAACTATTGGGTGTTACCTTACAAAAAAAAACCAAACTTGTGTATATGCAACTGAGGGTTCACTCATGGCAATCATTTTAGTTTGGAGAGGTCAGAACAAGAGTGATTTCACAAAAATGGCCTGGAATTCTAAGAGTTTTAAAAAAAAAACTCGTCCTGGTTTATAGTCCCATGGGCAAGTTTCCTTATTTTGATTGCCTCTTTAATCCAGCGTTTGTTTGTTTTGCTCCGTCCCAGTTCATACTGTGGTTCAATCTTTTACGAGTATGAAAACAAACTCTTGGTCTGAAAAAAGAACCTAATAACATAAAATATCTGAAGACCAAATGAACCTCATTGGACTGCTAAGATTGAACTTAAACTTGATTTAGATACATTCAGTCCTGGAATTGCCAATCTCTATTAAACTTGAGTGATTCATGACATCACAAGGTGGAACAGAGCATTCTGTGCTTTGGACACATAGACAGGCTAATCACAAAGAGTTTCTCAAACGTGTGAATGAAGTAAAACACAACTCCAGGTCTGTTTTTAATGGGGTAAAAACATTATAACATGACTTAAAGCTCACAAGAATCAATGTAGTATAAAATAGGACCTTTAAAAAAAATTGGGAATACCCTTGGATCTCTGCAAACAATTTGAAATGAACTAACTCTATTTTTCACATTTTAAAATATAAAGCAATAAAATCTCATGGTGCAGTGTTTGTACTTTGTTTACGTGCCCATCTCTACTCCGACGTCTGAGTGTGTTATTATCATTTTTAATAGCCTCCTCATACATGTATTCATCAGACGCACATCAAAACAAACTCACGCTTTTCATATTTCATTATTAACACGACTCGCGGAGCTGAATAATCTAGTCCAATTGTTACAACCTCGTATCTGTTTGAATGTAAACAGAGCCCGGACACATGTGGCGTAAGCGAGACGGGGCTATGCCGGCGCTTTGTTGACGCTGGCTCTTTGTTGACGCTCGAGAGGAGGCTTATCTTAATGGGACCACATACCAGGCGGGCAGCTCGTGTCCATAACACAGAAGGTCCGTGCGCGCTCCTCGTGCACGCTCCCAGACCAAAACATCAACATTGGCACGTGAGATGGCGGGTTCACGCGGGTACGGTCAGGTAGATCGAATGCCAGGCAAGATAAAATAGATGAAATAGATACAGCATGTGTTTCCAATGTTGATCTATGGCTAATTACGGAAATTGGTCAGGGGTGGTTAGGGTCATTTACCGTAATTTTACTGTTCAAATCAAAACAATGATGGCCACACTGGAACCAATAATATTTGCAGTTCACCTGAGATCACCTTCTGTTATATCCAAAAATCAATAAACTTTAATTGTTGGTCGTTTTTTAGTGGGAAATACACACTTGAACTCTACATGACTCTTTGGGGAATTTCCCTTATTGATCCTGTAATCGAGTAAAACAGGCTGGCACACGTACATGGGTAATAAAGGTGGGCGTCGGGGTGGCCTGGCTCAGCTGGTAGTGTTTGTCCAAAGATACAAACCAGGAAGACGTTTGGACACATGCGATGACAACTTCCGTGTAGTTCCCGACACTGGGCTCGCCGACCGACTGATAAAACCCACTGAAGTAAATATGATCAGCGGTAAAATGAAGACTGCAGACGTATGTGCTGTTTGGAATCATCTCGAATTTGGTGCCTCATCTCTTCTAATCGCATGTACCCAGTGCGTCAGTCGGAGTTGTTTGTCAGTGGGGAAATGATGAAAACTGAGGTATGGTTGTAATGGTTGATTAGCCGAACATAACAGAACTCTTCAATGACATAGAGATGGAAAAAACTGGGACATTTTCTTTTTTTTCCCTAAATTTTGTCAGACTTACTACCGTGAACAGAAGGGTCAGCCCTGTGTTCCCTCATTTCTAAGATTTTTCTCAAAATGAAACTCTAATTCAAGCCATTTTTATTGCTCTACTGCATTTAAAGCTTCAGGTGCATTTAAACCTCAGGTCCTCTGCACATCTTACATCTGTAGTCAACTGCTGCTGGATAATAGGTTAGGTGTAATCAACGACCAAATTGGGAGAAATGGGGATAAAATTTGATGAAAATTAATGATAAAGGAAATGTGGAAACATAGGACCAAAAAAATAATAATAAAAACTTAGAAATGAGGGAACATAGGGCTCGCTCCTGAACAGAGCCCTCCGGAAGTTGTCGTCACATCTTTCCAAACGTCTTCCTGGTTTGTGATGTAAGCGTGACTAGAGACTATAAAAACAATTGAAAATACATTTTGAACATTTCTAAACAAATTAATTTGTATTTGTTAAATTACAGGTGTTTTTATTTCTCAGTTACCGCACTACCACAGAAATAAGGTATTATTTCTGTGAGCAGGTCTACTTCCCCATTGATCTGACCTGTAACTTGGCCTGGTGATGTGGCTTGCTTGTAAAATGAAAGGGACAGTCCGGAATTTTGGACCTCAATTCCTAGTGAGCCAGAGTGTTGGAGACGTGTGGAGACACTTTTTGAAATATTCATCCAGTCCTTGTATTTGCAGAGGTCACTGGTGCTAGGCTAGTGCATGTCAATGGCCATAGTTATCCTGCCACTAAAAACAGTCTTATCCACTCCACAAAACACCCGAAGCAAATCTATTATTAATCCAGACTGTCCATGTAATTATCTGTATTGATACAATACTGTTTGAAATAAAACTAACCTTGCATCACATGAATCATTGCATGTTGAGGAACTATTTTCATGTATCAGTCACTGCCAAGCTTTTCTTCAGGAAGTACAACACGCTGCTGCTTCTCAGACATAAATCCTTCAAATGCAAGGTTGGTTTTACTTCTAAAATTATTCTATCGACACAGATATTTACATCAATAGTCTGACATAATAATGGATTTTCTTCGGGTGCACTAGTCTAGCACCAGTGACCTCTGCAAATACAAGGACTGGATGGAATATTTTAAAAAGTGTCTCCACACGTCTCCAACACTCTGGCTCACTAGGAAATGAGGTTCTATGTCCAAAATTCTGGACTGTTACTTTAAATGTCATACTGTAGAACATTCCAGGAAAAATTAGAAAAGTTATATAGTGCACCTGTAAGGCTTTGTCTGGCATTAAATGTAACCATCGTGCATATACATAATAACATGGGTTTTTATTAGGGCTGTAACAATATCCAAGTCTCACGGTACAATATCATCATGGTATGAACCTCACAGTACGATATTTATTGAGATATCGTGGGACAGCTCACGATATGGTGGGGAGTATGGAGTAAGAAAGCTGTCAAAAATATTTGTGCACATAAAATAGAAATCCGTGCGTATTTGGGAAATCTGTGCATATTTGGCTGTAGTTGGTCATAAAATAAATATTTGTAAACTCTCAAATGAGTCCAGTCGTACATAAAATATATTGTGTGTATTTTATCCATCAGAATACGAATTGAAAAATTACGACGTCAAGAATTACAATCACGAAATGAAAATTTACGATTACGCTTTCATCAGTACGACTACGAATTCACAGACGGAACTTTACTGTCAAAAATACGTCATCACTTCACAGACATTATTCATCGAGCAGAAGAAACATCGATCAAGATCAAGACTGCGCAGCTCAAGTTTGTAGCAGAGGGTAAAAACACAGAGTAATAGCACAAGAAGCTACAACAGCGACCAACACATGGGTTAATTAAAATCTATTGTAAAAATGTCTTGAATTCGGGAACCGAACGCTGCTGTATAATATTGTGTAGAAACACCTCCTATGAATGGGAAATTGCACCTATATGTTAGATAACATAGTGGAGCCAGTTGGCTAACATCCGACGTAACGTTCTCCCAGGGCTAATTAGCAAATATCAGGTTCTCTGTAGGTTTAGATTAAAACATTCACGGCTACAGCCACAGCGAGCATCAGTCAGTCTTCACTTCAGCTGCATTTCAGACAATGGGTTATACATGAGTTATAATGGGTTATAATGAGCAAATCCATCCACCTCACGGTGACGTTAAACTTACCGGTAAATACTGTAAACATACCAAGGTGTTGCCTGTAAACACGAACATTAATTGTTGCTGGAAGCTGCATTAAACTGTAATGTGTAACATTTCATTGGCTGTGACGTCTGTAACCAGGACAGTTTGGTAGTGTTTGGTGTAAACTGGGACATTTCAGCGTCCGGAGGAACTTTTGGTGGCATTTCATGCGAGAAATGCAGCTGAAGTGAAGACTGACTGATGCTCGCTGTGGCTGTAGCCGTGAATGTTTTAATCTAAATCTACAGAGAACCTGATATTTGCTAATTAGCCCTGGGAGAACGTTACGTCTGATGTTGCCAACTGGCTCCACTATGTTTTCTAACATATAGGTGCA